CGACTTGGGAAGTCCACAGGAGAACAGAGCAATAACATTTTTTAGCCTGTTTTTCGTCCTGAAACCTCAGAGTCTCCTTCCCACCTCTGATGGGACATTACTCCATTAACTGGTATGAGAAGGGTATAGACTTTGTCCGTCTGGGCAACCCAGAGGCAACATACTTCTGGGGAGGACACTGGAGAAGCATCCAGTTTAAGCTTGCGTATTTTGTCAGTTACCTATATGGGAACAGGAACTCTTGCTATTTTTCTCTAGCTGTGCATACTCGCATTGTTTCCCTTTTAGGGGCATCTCCAAATTGCCCCACTGTGGTCATTCTTCCCTGAATCCAGTGTCCCCAAGTTAGGGGCCAGAGGATATTACTTGGGATCAATGTGCTGTCCTCTTGGCACAGTGGTGTTTCTCAAGAGAAGTAACTGTGTTCTTAAAGCTGCATCTCCTAAGAAACAGAGTTGTTTTAAATACTTACCATTACTCTCTTGTCAAAACACACTTGGCTGACAAATCCCCTGCCCAGCCTTACCTCACCCCTTACAAAACACTGCGTGCGAGTTGTGCCTACAATCGTTTTGTTGACACGACACATTTTGTCAGCTGTGCAGGAAGGCCGGAGACAGCGGGGAACAAAATACACATGGCCAAAATGGATCTGGCTGGTCTGGGAGGGCTGTCGTGCCAGACTGCCTGCATACGCTTGCACCGCAAAGTGCCCCGGCCACGCTGGTCTCTGGAGGGGAGTCAGGGCCCACTCAGTCCTGGCCACGTTGTCCCACGCGAACATTGCCCTCTCAATGACTCTATGGAGTAGCCATAGTCCAAAATTAACAATTTTTTTGGAACATGACATAGTTGACTAGTGAAAGATGGGTGCAAAGTCCTGCTACGGTCACTGGGGCTGAGCAGAAACAGCAACAGATCGCAAAATCTCTCCTTCACAGTCATGGACTGTGCTTGGATGAGCACAAGGAATCTGAATTCAGATGGTCAGCATCAAAGCAAACAAAAAAAAAAATAATGGTAGAAGTCTGTTAAGAGCCAAAGGAACAAAGGTGTTGCTCCCTCTCTAGTGGAAGTGAGAGAGCTGCCAGTAACTAAACTAAATCAGAGGGGAAAAGCACTTTTCAGTCGATATTCTATTCTCTATTTGGCAAAGCAAACGGTGCAGTCACACCACAGGTGATGGTGAAACCCTACTTGCGTCAGCACTAACTCAGAAAGTTGTTTGAGAGCAAATGCAGAGGGTAAACATAAAATCACCAGATCTGAGCAACTAGCATTCAAAGTTTTCAAAAGATCTGGCCAAGAGAAGAATCAAGCTGTTCAGCCTGGTTTCCAGCAAGTCAGAGAGAAGTCAGGCATTGCAGTACTGCTTCTGGGCTAGAACAAGAGCGTAGAAGGTAATTGGTCAGTAAAAGAGCATTAGGTAATTAGCAGCAATATAAACATAATAGAAATCCCAATAAAATGCTGCTACATATCTGTTTATAATCAATTCAAATTTCAAAAAAAATTTGTTGTTTCTTGCTAAGCAGCTGGATGGTGCACAAGATTTTGTTTCGGTATACATGAAGGCAGGAGCACGAGTATCATTGCACTTTCAGGGAGACGACACAGGGATCACATCGGTTTGGGAGCACAACGTGAAATCAGGATGGCAAATGAATGTCTTTGCATGGAGGAATAGTGAATCTTCTGATGGACAAGCAGAAAAAAACCCAAACGTAGAATCAGAAAAGTTCTGTTGAAAAGTGTTTAGAGAACAGCCCTTTGCTCTTTAATGATGGCTAAGATTATTCATCAAATTTGGCAAATAGTTTTAGTTAAAGAGGTTGAAATTGGAGTGAGAAGGACAAGAAAAATTCACCTAAGTCAAAATGTCATGTGTTGATATTTTGAAAATGGAAATGTTTTCTTCTGAGCTAACACTTTTGTTTCAAAACAGAACTATGGCTAAAAGCATTAGCTAGTAGGAAAATGAAATAAAACATTGTGTTTTGGATCACATTAAATATTTCAGTTAATCCAAAACAATTTTCCTCCCAATTTTTCAGTTTCTACTGAGCAGAAAATCCATTATTTGGAAAATTGCCCCATACCCTGATGAACTACAACTAAAATGCTAGGGAATATGCTTGAAGAAAGACCTGGAAAAACCGGAACAACTGCCAAGGTCCCTGAAATTGTTTCACAGACAAGAGAGCGTTCTCTAGAAGGAAGGACTCCAGGTCCATTTAGACATGTCAAAGAAATCTGAGGAACAACCTTATTAAAGCCTATATAGACAATATCTTTTCTTTTTTTTCCCCCCTCTAAAGCCTAGCTGACTGAAGTATAGCAAAATGCAACATCTGGATTTGAAGCTGTACGAGTTTTGACCACAATCACAGTTTATACTGCTCAGAGTGGAATTAGTTAACACTTGGAATAACTTATGTTGTGTTGGATTACCCGTCACCAGGAAATTTAAAATCACAATTGGACGTTTTTCCCCAAAAAGATCCTTTACTAATGAAACAGAATTGTCAATGAAGGTGTCTTTAAGGCAAGCTGCCAGGCTTTGCCCTGTTTTGGGTAAGATGCACACTCCTGGCCACCAGCTTAATCACTACAGGAGAGCATCCCTCGAGGAGAGGGGCAGCAGCTCCCCAAACCCTGACAAGCCCCAAAGCAACAGGCTGTGAGGGCAGGGAGTTTTTACCTAACAAGACACACCATGACATGCCGTTGACCCTGGAGAGGGCATTTACACTGCAGCCTGCAGGCAAACCTGCTGGAAGAACAGAGCAGTTCAAAGCAAAATGCTGTCACATAACGGAGCTCCCTGGGAGGATCAGGCATCGTTCTGGAAACACAAAAAGGTGGGGGAAGGAGTTGTTCTTGCTACCTGCACCACCCTGCTCTGCAAGCGAGGATGGTGCGAACCCAAGACTATCTCTCAGGGTTTAACCCCAACAAGGCCTGAGCACACGTACACAGGCTGCGGGTGCTCCTTCGGGCAGCTGCCGTGCCCCTGACGCAAGCTGGGGTGTACACCGCTTTTTTTCTCTGGCTGGGAAGGGGCAAGATTCAGACTACACCATGCTTTTCAAGGGCCACCACAACAGCAGACATCACCACATACGTCACTTCCTACACACCTGGGCCAAAAGTCAAGCTTACAAAGTATGCCAGGCTTTGCAAAAGCCACAGGACTATGGATCTTGCGTAAACTGGTGCAGCTGAAGCAAAAGCTGATTTAAAGCAACCAACATTCTGCTCCATTTCAGAGGTATCGCGGAGTTTAAAAGAAGTTGGATGTAACAAACCCCCTGATGCCGAATATCCCAAGTTTAAGGGAATCTTTAAGCCAAACGTGTTCTTTACAGCTAATCCCTGTCATCTTATAAGGTCAAATGAAAAGCTTGGCACTGAATGCCCCACTCCACCTCTAACAGAGCACAAAACCAAAGCTGTATTTTTTTCTACAAGAAACAGTAATGCAATACAGAGGGAGTGATTTTAATTACACTCTCCTTTGAAAGCAATGAAAAATTTACCGACTCCCATGGATATATTTATTTGACCACACACTCAAACTGTTGCCAGTTCACCAAGGTCTCCTAGCTTGAAAACTTAAGAACATTAAATGCAATAATCATATGTTAAAAAGTTTGAAAATGCAAGTGCACAGAAGTCAGGAAATTCCAAAATTAAGTTATCTACCACAACCATAATTCAGCCCTAGTATTCAGCCTTATTGTACCACTTGATTCTACATGCCGTTAGAGATTTATGCCTTAAAACGTGGCAGGCCATGGTATCGGTGGGAATTTTTGTTAAGGTACATCCTGAATTTTGTGTGTTTTAAATCTCAGTCTTAACGTTGCATTAATATGTTTGCATTTAACAGCGTAACGCTTCAGAGTTTCCTCCCAGCGTAACCTGGGCCAGATATAATCCACACGAACTGCCAAAGGACAGGACAGCACCAAGGCATCCGACCAGACGCTGCTTTGCAAACCAATTCAAGGTATTCGAGCTCCATCGTGTGGAACGCGCCTGCACGTACAATAGGCATCAAATCTTTGGCTTCCTAATAAATCTCTTGGGAATGGGAAAAACGTATCCCCAAACATGGCATAAAATCGGGGAAATCTGCTTTTATAAAGATTGCTGCTGGGGCTGTGCTGCAGCCCATCACAGCACACATCGCAGCGAGGCAGCTTTTTAATGAGAATTGAGACCAGCTCCCACTGCAGGGCAGATAATTAGACTCATTTCACACTAGTGTTTGCTGCATTGGCCGTGGAAACACTGTTAGATGAATAGCTCAGCCATACATTTCTTTTAAATATTGCCTATATATGTTTTGCATCCTTTTTCATCCATTGCTAGAGCACTAACACACACAGCCCGACGCTATTTGTACGCAACAGGTACACCGTGTGACCTCTTTCTCAGATTTTGTGTCATCCTGCAGCTCGGGTTAAAGGAGTAAGAAACCACTTCATGTCTGAATTCTGGTTAACGTCCCATTTCTCAGTGTCTTTTAGGCTGCGGCCTCCATGCCAGCAACATCTTTGTGCAGCACCTAGCCCAGAGGGGCCTTTATCTCCCTGGCTCCCTTGAATGCTCTCAAAGAGCTCTCTCTTCAAAGCAAGTATTTTTCCCAGACAAGCAAAGGCTTCTAAATTTCTAGAAGCAGTTTTGTAACAGGAAGAATGTTGCCGTGACAATACGTATAGTTATATTTGTAGAATGTATTGAAAGACATATAGACAGATGTGGTTTTCAATTTCATATTTGTTACAAATGATTCTTCTCTAACATGCTGAATTTCGCATCCCCTGCTTCACAGAGAGGGAGAACCCACACAGAAAAAAGGCCAGGGAAAACACTAAAAACACAAAGCCAAAAATAAACCCGATTACTCTGAGCAACAACTCAAACCCATCCAGGCTGCAGCATTGGGAGCAAGAAACCACACCGGGCTTCACAACGAGCAGGCACAGCCTTACTCTGCTCATCTCTAACTCGCTGCGGGGGGGCACTTTGCCCGGTTTACCTTTAGCAGTAGCCGTCTCTCCATCAGCGTGAGCCATGCGCTGCATAGCAGTCGCTCCAACGCAGAGCGGCATGCTGATTTTCTGCCCCAAGACTGAGGTTGACAGGTCCATTACTGACACATCCCTGAGTACCCGGGGGTACAGCTTCCATCTGACACAGAGACAAATAAAGAGAATAAAAAGCCTGCATCATCAGGGTTATTTACAGTTTCTAATGGGCAAGAGAAGACTTCCCTGCTGTCACGAGAAACACGGTGAAAGCTGTGTGGGGCTCGAGCAGAACCTCACTGCGTGACCCGGAGCTACAGCAGAAACCACGAAATGCACAAAGCCAGGAGGGAAAG